CCTGGGCAACAGAGTGTGACTCCATTTTTTAAAAAAAAAAGAGAGAGAAAAATATCTATAGGTACTATTTTAACCTGTAGCACATATAGAATAAAATACTAATATTTTGTAAACCTTATTTTTTACTTGAAAGAAAATGGATACCAGTCTAAGATTTAAAATTTTCCAAATTTTAGAATATGTAGTGATGAAGTAGCTTCCTTTACATAAATACAAGATTCACACAGCAAATTATGGCAACATAACTGATATTAACAACAACGCTGGCTTTTGTTATGCTTTGTGATTTTAGCTACTTATTAAATAATGTTATTTATCTTGTAGTATTTTCTGTATTGTTCTCCTAATTCATGAGCAAGCATGGTCAGCTGTCAAAAAAAAAGGCTCATATATTTTATAATAGGGATATAAAACATAGGATTAAACTAATTTAATTTTCAGGACCAATGTAAAAAATTGAAAATGAGATTAGCTCTTTGATAGTTTAAAAACTAAAAACAGCTTTTGTAAAGATCTATTAAAATCAATTAGATTTTATTTAATTCTTATTAACAAAAAAGAATAAAAGAACTATTATATTTCTATAGCAATGCTCAGACCATTCAGTTTTTTACACATCAGCTTTTACACCCAAAACATGCTGCTTTTGGACTTTGTGTCAAACATATAAAAATGCTGTAGACCACATTGGATGTGAAATAATAAAGACTAATATAACTACAAAAAAATTTCGATAAACTTAGAATCAGACTGGAGGAGACATAATAACCAGATGTTTAATTTAAATCAGTGATAGAAATAGTCAGTGTCCTCTTTTCATAAAACACTTGGATTTTATTTGTATTCAAAAGCAATGGTAAATGTCAAATGACTACCAGACCATCCTTCTGAATACAAGAAAATATCATGCTGTTTAACTCTCTAAACACAAAAAGTGCTTTTAGAAAAACAAAGATAAAGAGCAGCATGTCTTAGTCACAGAGATCATCAATTCAAGGACCAGAAAATGTTAAAAGGCACCATAACAGTAAAGTCTTTCAATTACTACATGTTTTAAAATTTTGAACTTAAAAAAAATGTTCACAGATAAGAACTTTTAAAGCCTAGGGTAAATCTTATATATAAAGGACTATGACAAGTATTGAAGTTTACCTTAATGTGAAAAATCCTTTATTAAAACTAGCAACATTCAGGATAAATCCTTGTAACAGGTATTATATAGAAATTAATATCTAAAAGTTCCACTATACTTTCAATATGAAAGAAAATAATGAGCTTAGTTAAAAAATTAAGAATTTTATATGTAAATGTAAATTGTATTTGAATCCTGACTATGACATGGAAAATTTACTGATTAGCCATTCATTTTTTCTTGTTTGTCCTCACTTAGATTTTACTGCAACGATGATGGAAAAATACATCCACTGAAAAGCCAAAGAGAAGTCAAAGGAATGGTCTAGACTTAATAGAAATAGTATGACTTTCCCCTCAACAAAAGTCGTTGAAGAGATTAAATGAGAACACGTGTAAAGTGCCTATCAATTACCTGGGTAATAAAGGTTACTTTCATCCCCTCAATCCTTACAAGGCTCACTATTATCATTAAGTCTTATGTCACCTAAAGAGAGTGACCTTTGAGAACAGCAGGAACTCAGTGCCCCATAGTATCAGACATAGTACCAAGTATTTAGTTGGGGGCTAATAAATGCTTTCTGAGTTACTGGAGGATAATAATAATGAACGAATGTAAAACAGAATTAATTGATAGGCTAAATGCATTAGTGCATTCCAGTGCCCTCTATGTGGAAGGTTACTAACCCATCTCAGCTAAGTGCTGAAATTATAATTAAGTCTGATGAGAAGTTCTAGATTTACACCAATATAATTACAAATGTTACTTAGCTTAGTAATATAGTATGGCAAGAACAATAAGATGAGTAATTTAGATGATACTGCAAAGTGGGTTTTAATGTTTGAAACTTCTATTACAGTATACAGGATAAGTGCAAGTAGTGTAATTAAAACCTAAAAGAGCCTGATCTTTAAAATGCTACTGCTCAACCTCATTAAAATGCATATTTTCTCAATCCAAACTTTTCCATTAAAAACATAAAAATACGCTTTCATTCCTTGCAAATAAATCTCTACAATACATATATTTGGCATCAAACACCAAATAACCATTACAGTTAAGTAGGAAAAAAATGATTGAAAAAGCACAAGGTTTGAGTACACGAAGCCTAACAAAGGGAAGGATAAGCAAAGTGAGAGCTCCCAACATTTTCATTTGTAAATTACCCAGTTACAACAAAATTAGCATTTAAAGAACTAGAAGATTAAAAATCTATTCTCCCATCTTTAATTAAATGATACAAGCCTAAGCAAAATATTTACTTAGATAATTCATATAACCATGTATAGACTGTTATCTTATTTATCAATTATAGTAGTCTCCAATTAATGACTCTTCTACACATGTCCTGTATACCAAAAACTGTTTTGGAATATAATCATCTTGTTGCAGAAACAGTTTTCTCCTTTTAATTCAATGTATTACCAAGAAATTTATGATAATATATTAAACTAATGTTAGATACCTAAGCCCACAAGACATTGTTTATTTATGTACTTTATTATTTGTCATGAATAGCTTTTTAAAGATTACTTTAAATTTTTATATAGAATGTTGAATATAGAGAATTTTACTTTGTACATTTTCTTTTCAGGAAAGTTAATTTATTTGAATTTTCTTTTTCTTAATTTTTTTAATTTCAATAACTTTAGGAGCGTAAGTGGTTCTGGTTACATGGATTAATTGTATAGTGGTGAGGTCTAGGATTTTAGTGCACCCCTTACCTGAGTAGTGTACATTGTACCCAATAGGCAGTTTTCATCCCTCACCCCCCTCCAAGACTCCTCACTTTGAGCTCGCATGTCCATTATACTGCTCTATATGCCTTTGCACACCTATAGCTCAAGTCCCACTTATAAGTGAGAACACATGGTATTTGGTTTTTGATTCCTGAGTTACTTCACTTAGAATAATGACCTCCAGTTCCATTTTCTTTAAATATTGATATATTTCATAGGGTGAATATTACTCAAAAACAAGAGAATTTTTATAAATGGTGATCACATACCCATTCTATATGAGTACATTTTTCAAGAAAAATTTTACTAATTAAGAGTGAAGTAAAGGCTATCACATAATTTAAAGAGTAACTAAGGGTAATTTAAGAAAACGTCATCATTAGAATTTACCAAAATTGGGAAAAGTGGAGTCTACATGGTTTTATTTTTAAAGTATAAAAGGAAATTAAAAGAGGGGAGGCCAGGTGCAGTGGCTCATGCCTATAATCTCAGCACTTTGAAAGATTAAGGCGGGGGCTGGGGGATCACTTAAGGCCAGTAGTTTGAGAACAGCCTGGCCAACATGTCAGAACCCCATCTCTACTAAAAATACAAAAACTAGCCAGGCGTGGTGGTGCACACTTGTAATCCCAGTTACTGGGGTTCTGAGGCACTAGAATCCCTTGAACCCAGGAGGTGGAGGTTGCAGTGAGCGGAGATCATGCCACCGACTACACTCCAGCCTGGGTGACAGAGCAAGACTCAGCCTCAAAAAAAAAAAAAAAAAAAAAAAAAATTAAAAATATCTTAAATTTAAAGCATTATCTGACACCAAAAAATTATTTCTTCTATTTTTAAAAGAATATTTAAATCTAAATAGGTTCTAATTTTAGCTGAAGCAGTGATTTCTATTTTGAAAGGAAAATATTTTTAGAAACTTATCTTAAAAATTCTTGGAAACTTACTGGGCAAGAATCCTCTCATGCCCATATTTACAAATCTACCTAATCAGTAGTACTGGTGCTACTCTGCAGTTGTTTTCATTATAATAGGCTACTTTTAAGGGTTTTCCTGTATTGTTTTCTTCCTTCCTTAAATATTTCAAAGAAAAATGGGTTAATCATTCTTCACAAGAAAAAAACTTCCAATTCTATACTGTATATTAAACTATTCATCACAAGACTTCCATTTCTGAAACAAATTACATGTATATACTGAAAAGAAAATGTCATCCTTAGGTGCTGATAGGGTTTGGTTTGTGTTCCCACCCAAATTTCATGTCAAATTGTAACCCCTAATGTTGGAGGAAAGGCATGTTGGGAGGTGACTGAATCATGGGGGCAGATTTCCCCCTTGCTGTTGTCCTGATAATGAGTGAGTTCTCACAAGAACTGGATGTCTAAAAGTGTGGAGTACCTCCCACTTCACTCTCTTCCTTCCTTCTCTGGCCATGTAAGATGTGCCTGCTTTTTGCCATGCTTCTAAGTTTCCTGAGGCCTCTCCAGCCATACTTCCTAAAGAACCTGCAAAACTATGTATCAAATCTCTTATCTTTATAAATTACCAAGTCTAAGGCAGTTCTTTATGGCAATACTAGAATGGACTAATATAGGCACAGTGGCATATATGCCTGTAGTCCAAGCTATTCAGGAGGCTGAGGTGAAAGGATCACTTGAGCCCAGGAATTGCACCTGGGAAACACAGTGAGACTCCATCTCTGAAAAAAAAAAATGTCACCTTTAGGAAAGGATTTAAATGTATAATGTTTCAGATGGTTTCTCCAAATCATTAAAATCAACCACAAATGTTGCAAAACTGTTAAAGCAACAAATAATATATCATTACAAACTTACAAGCATGGCAAAAAGCAGGCAAGTCTTAGACAGATATCAAAGAAAAAATTCAACAGCTTACTATTGTTACAACTGTTGAGGAAAACATTTGTATTAAAGCACCTAAAAACTTTGCTGCAATTACAAGCAAAAAATGCATTAAATGTATAGATCTAGATGGTTTTCAAAACTTAAACATATCTATTTGAAAAGGCACAACTGCATTCAATTTTAAAGACATGCCTTGTTATAATGTTAATTGGTATTTGCTACATGTCTTCCTCCAGAAAAGTATTTTTAACATGTTACAATGGTTACCTGTCATTTATGATCCAGTTCAGACAGAGATTGAGAGAGCTAAGATTTTTGCACCTCTTGACAATTTCCATCACGGTTTCATTATCCAGTTCAGTGATATGACGTAGGTCCAAGCTGGAAAGGTTTCTTAGCTAATGAGGTAAATAAAATGAAAGATGAAAAAGGTAAATGCTGCATTCATTCTCAAAACTTATAAATGGAGTTTATTACAAGGTAGCATATCATTGTAAAATATTTAAAATAGATGATAAACTGGAAGCTTTTAATTAAATATATATATAATATTTTACACATTAAATTAAACATGAGTATAGTACATAAACCTATGGTGAATATTTGTATGGCAACAAACATTAAAAGAAAGTAGATTTTACTCAAGTATCTTAAAAATCAAGTTAGAAATCTATTGTCTGATAGGCAGGCAAGCTATTGAGTATATTACATTAAGTACCTACAATTTGGTAAGATTATTATAACATTGTTCAATTTCAGATATTATCTTCATAATTATAATGCCATTTCTGTATAGATATTTTCATTTTTTAAAAAATGAAATATGAGTAAACGTTTAATTCAGAGATAGCCTGGTGATAAATTATCAATGTACTCTAAACTGTACTATTATGGATATGTGTTTCATCATGAAACAATATAAAATGTGTTTTAAGAAGCAAAAATTCCAGGTTCCACCTTCTCCATGTCTTCATCTATTTCTTTAAGTTTCCTGTCTTCCCCTGATGTTTAGCCTCTAAAGCAAATTAGTGATAATATTTACATAAAGGTGGCAGAATCTTAATTATCCTCTTCAAATAAGCTACCTTTTCAAATATTAAGCTATTTTTGCTTAATAATTGCAAAACTTAATCTGGAAGCATATGATAGACCATATAACACAAATACCCCTCCCACCAAAGATATTTATGCTCTAATACGTTACCTTATAAGGCAAAAGAGATTTTGCAAATGTGATTAAAGGTATGGATCTTGAGATGGGGAGATTATCCTAGTTTATCTGAGTAGGCCCAGTGTAATCACTGGAGCCCCTTATAAGCACAGACTTACTCAGAGAAAGTCAGAGAGATGTGATGGAAGATACAGGAGATGTTTCAATCATGAAACGGATTCAAGCTACTTTTACTAGCTTCGAATATTGAGGAAGGGGCCAGGAGCCAAGGAATATGGGCACCTTTACAGTTGGAAATAGTCCTCAGCTGACAGAAAGTAAGAAATAAGGACCTCAGACTTACAACCTTAAGGAACTTAATTCTGCCAAACAACCTGCAGAGGTGAGCAAGAAAATAGATGCTCCCTTCAGGCTCTTGGAAAGAAAAAAAATCCAGCTGACACCTTGAATTTAGCCTGGTGAGACCTGTGTCAGATGGGCATCTGTCTTATAGAATAGTGAAATAATAAACTAGTGCTGTTTTAAGTTGCTAAGTGTGCGGGAATTTAAGTCAGTTTAGCTTAAACCCCAAGGGAAGAGTAGACACTTAAATCTCCACTGAAAATGTTCTATATTTCTGCTGTCTGATACAGTAACCATTAATCACTTGTACCTATGGAGCACCTAAAACGTGACCAGTGTGATAGGGGACCTGAACTTCTAATTTTATTTAATTTTAATTAATTTACATTCAGTTTTTATATCTGTATATGGCTAATGGCTATAGTGTTGGACAGCATGGCTCAAAAGAATGGTCATTGGAAGGGTGGGAGGCAAAGGTGCCGGGCAGTACTCAGACTGTCTTTCCACCTCAGCTCCCAATGGGAGAAGCTATACAGAGTGAGTTCACAGATCACTACTCAATGCCCTCTGAAGCATGCTGCCCAACTACGGAGATAAAAAGAGATAGCTGCTGCACATAAAAAACAAAAAGGTCCACAACAGTAGGTAAATTCTTTCTAATAAAGACAGCAAGCATCTGTACCAGCTTCTTCTAAGGGCTGGATTGTAGGCATTAGAAAAGGCAGAGCTTCAGGAAAAGCTCTCTGCAATTGCCTTAACAGGTGAGATGTTCAAGGAAGTCACGTCCAGTCCAGCATGGGACTCAGCAAAATGATGCTCCAGAACACAGGCAGGACAAGCAAAGAAGAAATGGGTTCGGACAAAGTTCCTATTCAATAACTGCAGGGTAAAGGCTTTAGCAACATCAGAACATAATTGGTACTTGGCAACCAAAGCACACGGGAATGGACTCATTCTTGTTAAAACATAGACCTTTCTGGCTATTTTGACAGCTTCAGGCAACTGACCAGTCAGAACCTGGGTCAACTCCCTCAGTTTCCCCTTCTTCAGGGTTTGCCTTACTGAAATAATTATAGTCAATACTAAGCCCAGGGCTCTAAGGTAAGCTGTTTGGGCTCTAAAGTTTTGCTGCAAACATAGCCCCTGATTCCTAGATCTTACTTCTCATTGTAGCTAACTTTTATTAAAGCATCTGCAGATGCCAAAAAAAAAAAAAAGAGACAGAAATAAAATACAAAATAAACAGCAAAATACATTTCTACAACTTTTCTGACCTCACTAGAATTCAACTAAAGGAACAAACGGTTGATATGCATGCTCCTTGCTATGCTTTCTTTCTTCCCATACCTGATCTGCATGTGCTGGGCACAGAAATTGAAATCACCCACAGTCATGGCTAGGCTTGGGGCAAAATGAAAGGCCAACATCTTTTATTAACAGGAGACACCAGAAGGATAGATGGCAATGTACATTGATCAACTCACTAGTTCTGTGGGTCAGGAGACCAGGCATGGCTTAGCTGTGTCCTCTGCCTAGGATTTCACAAGGCAATCAAGATCTCAACTGGAGCTATATTTCTTTCAAGAGCTCACATCCTCTTACAAGCTCATGTAGTTGCTGGAAGAATTCATAGGATAGGATAGGATAGGATAGGATAGGATAGGATAGGATGGCAATAAAGTGAAAGAGACAATAGTAATGCCAAAAAGCACAAGTCTCAGACTCAGCGTTTTTTTGTTGTTATTTCTCATGAGAAGAAGGAAACTAATAGTCTGAAAGCAGCTATGGAAAGCAAAGAGAATCCTGCCCCCACCTCCTGACCCTGAGAGAAACACAGTGAGAAAATAAACAGGTATGGTAGGCAAAATTCTAAGATGATCCCAATGTCCTATGCTCTAACATAATCCCTGCCCCTTGAGTGTGGACAGGACACATGATTAGGATGGAAGTTCTCCTTATAAAGCAAAAAGATTTGGCAGCTATAATTATGGCTCCTGATTAGTTGACACTGAATGAATCTAAAGGGAAAGTATCCTAGGTGAGCCTGACCTAATCAGTTGGGCCTTTACAAAGGGTCTAGAGGTCAGAGAAATTATCCTGCTTGGCCTTGAAGAACTAAGCAGCTGTGTTATGAAAAGGACTGTGAGAGGCTTCTGGGGATTGGCCACTGGCTGATGGCCAGCAGTCCTACAACCACAACCACGTGGCACTGAAGTCTTCCAGCAACTACATCAGCTTGTAAGAAGAGTTGAGCTCTATAAAGAAATACAGCCCCAGTTGAGATGTTGATTGCATTGTGAAACCCTAGGCAGAGGACACAGCTAAGACTTGTCTGGTCTCCTCACCCACAGAGCTAGTGAGATGATAAACGTACATTGTTTTAAGCTGCTAAATTTGTAGTAATTTATGTGCACCAGTAGAAAACAAATACAGGTAAGCTACAGAGGACATTGTATTGCTGAAAAAAGGCCAGGCTTCACTCAAGGGGAATATCCTTGCTCATTTTAAACGCTGAGGCTTTCTGCCCTCTTTAGATACTTATGCTCACAAAAGCACAGAGGGAGAGGCTTGTTCCATTCAGCCTTCTCCTCTAGGTTTGTCTCCAGCTTCCAAGAAAGTACTTCCTAGAAAACAGTCAGTTAAGATGCAGCCACTCTTGTCAGAAGAAAGAGAGAGAGAGAGAGACAGAGAGGCAGAGACAGAGATAGTGAAAAAGTGGGGAGATCTTCCTAAATTTCTTAAAGCAGCCCTTATTCATGGGAAGATGGGTTTAATGGAAACACTTTATGAAAATATTTGCACAGCTTCTGGCTTTTACTGAATTCATACTTGTCAATAGTCATGTGTTTCAATATACATGTATCTTAAAACAAGTTAACTGCCTTTTCCTGTTTCCTAAAGTTTTATTTTTCAAAAGATTTTTGCATTAGAGCTAGAAAGGTGGATAAAATGGTTTCACTGGTCAAGTTTTCTTGTTTTTGATTGGGCAAAGATGAACTTGTATGTGTCAAGGATCTGAGTCACTGTTAAATTTGATAATCCTCATATTGCTGTTCCCCACATTTCTATTTTCTTCCTTAAAAATCACCATTTTTTTAAACCACATTGTCTTTACAGTTAGCTTTCTTTACAGGGCATTTTTGATCCCCACACCCAAAAAGGTTTTATCACTGTTGGAAATATACTGTTCCAGTAACATGTAAAAAGAAGCAGGCAGCCCTGTGAACTGCAGATGCTGGGTAGCTTTCTGGGCTCATGTGCTGACAGCAGCCTCATGTTGGTATTACAGGAAAATCAGAAATAAACTGCATTAAATGGACCCTTAGGGCTGCTTGAAAATACTTTGATATATGACTCTTAAACTTATAAACATTAAGCATTAATTTTGCTATTTGTAACCATATGCATATGTGAACTACTGAATATAACCATGCAAAATACACATACAGCATGACTTTGTTTTCCCAATTTATCTTTAATATAATTTCAAGGAAGATTCAAAGTCACAAAAATTTTATCCAGCTACATAGCTATCTCCTACACATGCATATTTGGGGTTCCAGCACAGCTTCTGACACAGAGTTTCTATGTGAATCCTTATCTATCTCTTGGCTTCCTTCATTGTAATGTATCTCTTCATCACATCAGTTTGAATGTACTTGATGCCACTAAACTGTATATTTTAAATGGTTAAAATAGTAAATTCTATGTTATATATATTTTACCACAGTTAAAAAAAATCACATATCAAGAAGAAGATTGGTGAGAGCATACAATAAAAATTGTGTAAAGAAGAAAATATAAAGCTGCTCATGCCAGTTCAGTCTTTCATCATAGGAAAGATAACTAAGTGCCAACGAAGCTGGAATAACTTATCAAATTGCA